GGAGGAGAGGAGGAGGAGGGAGAAAGAGAGGAGAGGGGGAGGGAGGAGAGGGTGGCGAAAGAGGGGAAAGGAAGGGGGAAGTAAGTGAAAGGGAGGGGTGGGAGAAGGGGAGGGGAGGGAGAAAGGGAGGGGAGGGAAAATGATAGGGAAAGCGAGAGGAAGAGATTAGAATGGCAGGAAGACGAAAGGGAAGAGAGAGACACTAACTTCACTTACTTCTAACTCCTACGATCATCAGGGTTCCTTAATAATATATCCATAACACATTTAACTAACTCTCTAATTCAACTTATAACAATTTTCACACCTGGATTAATTTTCCTTGCAGGTGTGTGTTGGGTCCACGATGACTTGGACCTGAGTGGGTGGGTGATGGGGTGTGGCAGAGTGAGTGGGTGATGGGGTGTGGCTGAGTGGGTGGGTGGGAGGTGGGGTTGTGGTTCATCCCAGTGGCAAATGACATAAGCACATACCTTTACTTGAGCTGCATCACCACCACCACCACCAGCCTCGGGGACACGGCTCACTCTGTCTCTCTCTTTCTCTCACTCTCTCTCACACCTGACCACCTCCACCTCTTTACCTCTGGTCACTGCTACATTAATGCTTCACTACCTATTATTTCACTCCGTTTATAAACTTCATGTATTACAATAAAAATATATTGATTATTTTTTTTTCTTATGTTTTACTAGACATTGTTTTACAGCCAGTGCATGAATACCACTGTGGCACTTCCCATTTACTTCAGTGTGAGAGAGAGAGACGCACGTACGCACACGTCCCTCTTCATAAACTAAATTGTCAAATCTTCCAGTTTTCGTCTTCACCTCCTTCGTCGCCTCAAGTCACTGGGAGTTCCCGGACCCGAGCTCCTCACTGCTTACTCAACATTCATACTTCCCAAGCTCCCCTATTTCCCCTGCCATGTCGTCCTTCCTAAATGCCACACGACAGAAACACCTAGAAAAGGTGCAGAATAGGGCGTACAAAATGATTCTATCCCCCTACTACTCCACATATCAAGAAGCGCTCAACATACTGACCCTCTCGGATCTCTGATCATCACCATGACCCCATCTGCAAATTTGTGGAAATGCTTTCCCACAATCCTCGACACCGGCTCCTGCTTCCACCCGAGATCCCTAGTCTGCGAATTGCTGTTTGACACCACAACCACATCCAGCCCATACGAGCACGTACTGATCGCTATAAGAACAGCCCAGTCCCAACCATTGTAAAAATGATCAACAACTCGTAGTTCACCAGTGTGTTCACTCCCAGCCAACCTCACCTTTGCACTGTAACAATGTTGTATGACCTTCTCCCTACCCCATTTTTTATTATATATCACATTTGTACCGTTTATGTTACTTATATCTTATTTGTCAATCAAGTGACCCATTCCCCAATTATGTAAATGTATATTTTCAGCCTTCTGGCTGCCATGTTTTTCGTTTTCAATAAACCGTCCTCAAATGGTTAAAATCATAATCAACGTGGTAAAAAAATCTTCAATTTATAAAAAAAAAATCATAAATGTTTAAAAATTTTCCTTAAAGGTTTAAAATCATCCTCACAGGTATACCCTTGGCCAGGATAACATATAATCCCACCAAGAAGAAATTTCAACGTCACGAAGTAGTGATCCAACTTCCAAGAGGTATTACTTACAGGAGATACTCATGGTGGGCTTCAGGTCAGGTGGCACCTTAGTCTTTCTTGACCCCCAATCTATCCTAACGAAAACATCACAGTTGGGGCCTTAGGGGATTGGGGTATCACTAGGATTGGGGTCATTGTGACTGGGGCCTATCAAAAGCCGGGTCAATTTGTAATAATCTGAAGCCAATTAGGAGTGGGGCCTATAAGTACAACCTAGAGCCAATTAGTGTTACCTAGGGCCTATTAATGTTACCTTGGGCCTATTAATGTTACCTAAGGCTGGAGCAAGTGAGAGGTAAGAGAGTGGAAAATGCTGACTTCGAGTGAGGATGGAGGGAGAGGAGGAGGAGAGTGTAGGAGAGGAGGGAGGAGTGGAGGAGGAGGAGGAATAATGGGAAGAGGAGGAGAAAGGAGAACGGGTGAGGGAGAGGAGGAATAGGAAGAAGAGGATAATGAGAAGGGGAGGAGAAGGCGAAGAGAAGATGATGGTGTTCCGTACTTGTGGTTGCTGTGGTACTTGGTTGTTGTGGTGACGATAATGGTGGTGATGGTGGTGGTGGTGATGTGATGACGATGGTGGTGATAATGGTGGTGGTGGTGTGATAACGATGGTGGCGATAATGGTGGTGGTGGTGGTGTGATGACGATGGTGGTGATAATGGTAGTGGTGGTGGTGATGTGATGACGATGGTGGTGATAATGGTGGTGGTGGTGAGATAACGATGGTGGTGATAATGGTGGTGGTGTGATGACGATGGTGGTGATAATGGTGGTGGTGGTGATGACGATGGTGGTGATAATGGTGGTGGTGGTGGTGTGATAACGATGGTGGTGATAATGGTGGTGGTGGTGTGATGACAATGGTGTGATGACGATCGTGGTGATAGTTAAGGTACAGTGGTGGTGATATTGATAGTGTAGTGGTGGTGATAGTAATGGTGCAGTGGTGGTGAGTGACGGTGAAGTGGTGGTGATGATGGTGGTAGGGAGATTATGGTGATGGTGACGTAGTAGTGACAACTATCGTGGTGATAGTGAGGGTGTAGTGGTGGTGGTAGTGATGGCAACATCGTGGTGGTTATGGCGCTGGAAGTGATGGTGACGATGTGGTGGTGACGGTGTGGTGGTGACGGTGTGGTAGCGGTGGTAGTGACTGTGTGGTAGTGGTGGTGACGGTGTGGTGGTGGTAGTGACTGTGTGGTAGTGGTGGTGACGGTGTGGTGGTGGTAGTTACGGTGTGGTAGTGGTAGTGGTGGTATGGTGGTGGTAATGATAGTGATGATGTGGAGGTGGTTTAGGTAGTAACGGTATGGTGGTGATGGTAGTGGTGGAAGTGGTAGTAGTGGTAGAGACGGTGTGGTAGACACAGTGTGGTAACGGTGGTAGTGATTGTGTGGTGGTGGTGGTGACTGTGTGGTGGTAGTGGTGGTGACGGTGTGGTGGTGACGGTGTGGTAGCGGTGGTAGTGACTGTGTGGTAGTGGTGGTGCCGGTGTGGTGGTGGTAGTTACGGTGTGGTGGTGGTAATGACGGTGTGGTAGGGGCGGTAGACAGCACAGCACAACAGCAGTAGTGCCAGCACTGTTGATAGCACAGCAGCAGCAACAACAGCACCGTGGACCGTACAGCATCTTCAGTACGAGCACCGCGGACAGCCCAGCACAGCAGCAGCAGCAGTAGCAGCAGCTGCGGCGGGCGGTGGAGTTAAGAGCGGTAATCGTGTTGTTAGTGGTGGAGATAATGGCAGGGTGGGCGCGAGGCTGCTGAGTCCCCCGACCCGCAACCCTTCATTACGGCATTAGCGGACCACGCCTCCGCTGACGAGTTATTGAAGGGGCCTGCACACGCCGCGCCACGCCGCCCCCACGCCTCCCTAACCGACGACATGAACACCATGGATGGGATCACACGCGCCGCCGCCACGCCTTCCTGCGCCTCCGTCAGGGTTGTCTCACGCTGCTCCAGGCAGGTTTTGTTCATACATCCTGTGCCTTTAGTATGTCTCGCACCATCGTCTGCCCCTCCAGGAACTCTCACTACACCCCATCAACATCGTCTGCCCCTTCAGGAACTCTCACTACACCCCATCAACATCGTCTGCCCTTCAGGAACTCTCACTACACCCATCAACACCGTCTGCCCCATCAGTAACTCACTACACCCCATCAACACCATCTGCCCCTTCAAGAACTCTTACTACACCCCATCAACACCGTCTGTCCTTCAGGAACTCTTACTACACCCATCAACACCATCTGCCCCTTCAGGAACTCTCACTACACCCCATCAACACTGTCTGCCCCATCAGTAACTCACTACACCTCATCAACACCATCTGCCCCTTCAGGAACTCTCACTCACACCCCATCAACACCGTCTGCCCCTTCAGGAACTCTTACTACACCCCATCAACACCATCTGCCCCTTCAGGAACTCTTACTACACCCCATCAACACCGTCTGCCCCATCAGTAACTCTCACTACACCCCATCAACACCATCTTCCCCATCAGTAACTCTCACTACACCCCATCAACACCATCTTCCCCTTCAGGAACTCTCACACACCCCATCTACAGCGTTTATCCCATCATGAAATCTCGTATCCCACAACAGCAGCGACGACGGAGATAATCAGATGCAGCAGTAGCACACGAAGCGACCAGACCCTGTTATTATCGGTAGCCTGCGGGGAGCGGCTGGGCCACCCCGCTATACTCTAGATCCACGTACTGTCTCAGGCTTCGTCGCTACCGTGCCGGGCTATGTTAACACAGGACCTCAATTTTCCTCCCCAAATAGCTGGTTTGATTAAGTTAGATTGGATTAAATAAGATGATGTAATGATTAGATTACTTTAAGCTTGATTGATTTAGGTTTAAGTTAGATTCATGAGGTAAAGTTTTAAGATATATTAGGAGAAGTTAGGTTAGTTTAAGTTAGGTTAAGTGTAGCTAAGATTAGGGGTAAGCTAGGTTAAGGGACAAGTTAGATAAAGTTATATAGCCCAGGTTAGGTTATATTATTTTTATTAGGGAGATATTACTGTTAGTTTAGTTCAGTTTAAGTTAGGTTAGAAGGAAAATAACATCAGGTTGGGTAGGTTAGGTTAGGCTAGGTTAGGCTAGGTTGGGCTAAGTCCGACCCCATTTGGCCTAGTCTAGAGCTGACAACGAAATCTGAGGACTATTTGGAGGAAGGGAGGAGTAGGGGAGGGGAGTAGCGGGGCGGGGAAAGAGAGGGAAGAAGGAGGGGGAAAGAGAGGGAAGGAGAGCACGAGAGGAGTTGGGGCTACTGAGAATTTTAGGGGTACTGGAGGCATATATATGGACCATCGATGTTTGAGGTACTTGGGAAATGCCTGGACTACCGGGGGTACCTGGACTACTGGGGGTACTCTGGGGGGTACTACCCTACTGGGGGTACTTGGACTGGGGGTACCTACTGGGGGTACTTGGACTACTGGGGATACTACTGGGGGGGACTACTGGGGGTACCTGGACTACTGGGGTACTGGGACTACTGGGGGTACCTACTACTGGGGGGGACTACCTCTGGACTACTGGGGACCTGGACTACTGGGGGGTACTCTGGGGGACTACTACTGGGGGTACTTGGACTACTGGGGGGTACCTGGACTACTGGGGGTACCTGGACTACAGGATGGGTTATGTGGGGTCATGTGTCAGGTCTGATTGAGGTCTCAGAGTTACATGACGTGTCAGGGCTAGTTGGTGTATAACAGACAAATTAACACTGTAACAAGTTAGTGAACACACCAAAATAATAATTGACATTACATTGACAGATTTTTCACACACACACACACACACACACACACACACACACACACACACACACACACACACACACACACACACACACACACACACACACACACACACACACACACACACACACACACACACACACACACACACACACACACACACACGTTAAAGCTTACAATACCTACAAAAAAAAAGATTTACCAAACTAAATATGAATAAGTGGATTAATTAATACCAAGGTAACTATAATCATCTACACTTATTGAAAAATATATTGAAACAAACGTGAATGAATACAAGTCGGGGAAAACTTACATAAATTATGAATCCTGATTGGGAATATATTGTTTATATACCATAATAATTCTTCATGTTACCTCCTACCTATCTACATTGTGAGTAACTAACATATAACAAATAAATAGGAATAAGAACAACGAATATGTAGGAAGAAGGACGAGAATAAAACATAAGAGAGAGAGAAACGTGATTAATTATCGTAAATTTAATCAACTATAGACACGTTCAGCAGGTGTGTTTATTGATCATTAAGGTGATAATTACCTTTACTCTGCTGTACCTATATTATTATTATTATTAGTAGTAGTAGTTTTAGTAGCAGTAGTAAGACAAATGTAATATGAAAATCTCAGGCCACAATAATCACATCCCCAGCACAATCAACCAATGGACAAAAACTGCCCTATTCCTTACCCACCTACCCACTCACCTACCTACCCACCCACCCACCCACCTACCGCTACTCCGTGTTCCCTGATAAAGAGCTAAATACATGACCTAGTGATTTATTGAACCGAGTTTTAAAATGATAGAACCAGGTGGGTCACTATCCTACCCTCCCCCCCCACCCACCCACCCACCAGCTAAATGTCTTGTGCATTTGTAGTGTTTCCTTTTCTTCTCCTCTCCCACTACCTCTTCATTTTCTTCCACCACCTACAACTCCTCTTCTTCTTCCTCCATTACCACCTCTCACTCCTCTTTTTCCTCTTCCACTACAATAAACAATCGAAGTTGTCTGTTTTGGAAGCAGCAGCAGCAGGAAAGGTAAAATAGAGGAGTCGGCCGCACCAGCGTATACAGACATGCCTCCTCCCTCCCTTCCTCACCACCCGGTCCTTCACTGCACAAGACGCACCTCTTACTCCAGGTTATCCAAGACGCACAAAATAAGGTGTGCGTCGGGAGTCTGAAATCTGATACCGGACCATTACCCGAGTAAACAGTAGGCACGCGCGAAGAACCGTCAATTAAGCAATTAGACTTACCTCTGTAATGGTAATTGAAAACGATTCCTAACATTATGTAAACTGTGAGGAGAACTGCTGAGGTGGAGCGGAGGTTATCATTACCTGTCATAAATTTTACCAGGTGCTGCCCAGCTAGCACGACCACGGCCATAAACGAGTTAATGGCCCTCCCTCCCTCCCTCCAGCCCTCCCCCTCCCTTTCTCCCTCCCTCTCCCATACCCTCCCTTCTTTATCCCTCTTTCCTTTTTAACTATCCCTCGCTCCTTCTCTTCCTCCCTCTTTTTCCCCCTTTCTATCCATCGCTCCTTTCCTTCTTGCCTCTCTCTCATTACTCCCTTTTCCTTGTTTTGATCAAGCTTCTAGAAGACAGCCAATCAACCAGTCAGTCAATCAACCTCACAATCAACTACACAGGCAATCAACCAGTCAATTACTCAGCCAGTCAATCAACCAGCTAGTCAATCAGTCAATCAACCAGACTATTACTCAACCAGTCAATCAGACAGTCAATCAACCTCACAGTCAACTCGACAGTCAATCGACCGCAGATCCACCCACGTTATAAGAATCTACGGGCCTAACCACCAATATTTCGCTCTTAATTGACCCCTTAAGTGGTACAGCCCCTACTGACCCCTTAAGTAGTACAGCCCCTTCTGATCCCTTAAGTGGTACAGCCCCTACTGACCCCTTAAGTGGTACAGCCCCTTCTGATCCCTTAAGTGGTACAGCCCCTACTGACCCCTTAAGTGGTACAGCCCCTTCTGATCCCTTAAGTGGTACAGCCCCTACTGATCCCTTAACCCCCTACTGAGCACAGCCCCTACTGATCCCTTACAGCCCCTGGGTACAGCCCCTACTGACCCCTATGGCACAGCCCCTACTGATCCCTTAGGTGGTACAGCCCCTACTGACCCCTTAAGTGGCACAGCCCCTACTGATCCCTTAAGTGGCACAGCCCCTACTGATCCCTTAAGTGGTACAGCCCCTACTGACCCCTTAAGTGGCACAGCCCCTACTGATCCCTTAAGTGGCACAGCCCCTACTGATCCCTTAAGTGGTACAGCCCCTACTGATCCCTTAAGTGGTACAACCCCTACTGATCCCTTAAGTGGTACAGCCCCATAATATCACCTACCCAGATCAGTATTGTATCATTGTATCAAAGGTCACAGGTCAACGGGAATGAAACTCGTCTTCACCCATATGTATGATGACTAAACCCCATAAGTATGATGACTAAACCTTATGAGTATAATGACAAACTCATGGGTATGATGACTAAACCTCATAAGCATGATAACTAAACATTGTGAGAATAATGAGTAAACCTCATGGGTATAATGACTAAACCTCATAAGTATAATGACTAAATCTTGTGAATATAATGACTAAACCTCATAAGTATGATGACTAAACCTCATGGGTATAATGACTAAACCTCGTAAGTATAATGACTAAACCTTATGAGTATAATGACTAAACCTCGTGGGCTTGATGACTAAACCTCATAAGTATAATGACTAAACCTTATGAGTATGATGACTAAACCTCATAAGTATAATTACTAAACCTGATGAGTTTAATTTCGTCGTCAAAAGAATATGTCAACGTATTCAAACAGGTAGACATCGCACTCAAGGTGTTAACATCGTACTCAAGAGGTTAACAGTGTCCTCAAGAGGAGGTTCACAAATGTACTCTAGGGGTTAACATTGTAATCAAGGAGTTAACATATTATTTATGCTGTTAACACTGTACTCAATATGTTAACATCGTTTGCAAGGAGATAACACCACACCCTTTGGACTGCAGTCTAAGAACACGATAATAACTAGAATGATGTGTGCATTAACTAAGAGAAACAGACGGAGTTAACACTGTGAGGCCTGGCGGTAAAAATTAACATCTCCAAGGAGTAAGGAACTGGAGTACATTAGTAATTCGGGAACATAACATGTATTCGACTTTACACACACACACACACACACACGACGTCTCATTTCCATATGGCAATGTAGAATAGGAGGAGTGAGTGAGTCAGAATGATAAAGAGTTATATACCTGAAGTATAATATAACCATTGCTATCATAAGGTAATATCAACATCCCAGACGCAAATATTGGTGTTGACATCCACGAGGACATTGTTGTGAGTCAATATCTGAGATGGGGTGGGGTGGGTGGGGTGGGGGTGGGGATCGGGGTGGTGGTCGTGGGGTGATCGTGGGGTGGGTTGGTCGGGGTGGTCGTGGGGTGGGGTGGAGGATGTTTCGACAATTGAAGATGGTAAAATAGCTTGTAAAATTCTATTGTACGTTGCTTCTTTTCTATTTTGTTGTTGTTGTTGCTGTCGGTGCTGTAAGTTACTGCTGTGTCGGTACTGTTATTTATGTTTTTGTCTGTATTGTGTTATTGTTATTGATGATGTTTGTAGTGAGTGGTGTTAACAGTCGTGATAGAACTGACACCACACACACACACACGCACACACTTCCCTCGGCCTTCATAGGGTAAGGACGTGTGTAGTCGGCGCTGCCCGCTAACGCGGCCGTGGTCTCTTGACCATGGAGACAGCTGCCAGCCCGGTCTGTCGGGCTCTCCCCTTCCCCATCTCCTCCTTCCCATCTGGAGTTATCAACAACCTCACACCAACAGTACAGTGCAAAGATTGACGATTAACCCACAAGTGATATACAAAAGTGGCAATTTCAACTCGAAGGAAAAGCACAAAAACACAGCAATACTGATTGTGGCTGGATCTGACCTAACCTGACCTGACCTCACGGCTTCACCTGACCTAACCTGAAGGATGGAGCACACCTGCATTGCCCCAAGCTACTGTCCTGGCCACACACCTGCCCAACCGCATCCAGCCCATACGAGCACGAACTGATTGCTACAAGAACAGCCCAGTCCCAACCATTGTAAAAATTATCAACACCTAATTATTATATATCTTATTTGTATCACTTATATTACGTGTACATCAATTGTAAATCAAGAGACCCATTCCCCGATTATGTAATTGTATATTTTCAGCCTTCCGGCTGCCATGCTCTTTCAATAAACCGTTAATTATTATTATTATTATTATTACACACACACACACACACACACACACACACACACACACACACACACACACACACACTATCACAGGCCGTGTGTTTCCTTGCCCATTTCACCGCCTCATTGTTAATTAAAAAGTTTTCAACAAGCGAAAGTCACTTTGAACTCACAGTGTTGTAACTTTTTTTTTGGGGGGGGTCTGGTCTGGTCTGGTCGCCTGGTGCTGAGAGGTCGTAGTGCGGGGAAAAGAGACTAATTAAAAGTTGACAAGGCTCCAATACCCAGCCAACAGTCACCACTTAATGTCACCCCTGCCACCTGCCCTATCCCTAGAGCGCGCACACACACACACACAGGTCATCATAATGCACCACCGTCGACGAATGACCCACTATTCAGTAAAAATCCCATCCATAAAAATACAGTATTATATAAAGAACAGACCAACAACAACCATGATATACCGCCATCCTAACCAAAGAAGGAGGTAATAAACTCAAGAATTATTTCAAGCTCGGACAAGCAGAAGATTATCGCAATTTTCTTAAAGCGGCAGAGTGAAGGTGTATGATCCTGCCTCTGGGGTACCTCACGTCACCCCTCCCGGTAAGTAATGGTATTATTTTATATATACGATCGTTCCTCACACACCCTGGAGAAGAGGAGGGCACGTTGTTCTGGGTTCAAGGTTATTTACGCGTGTGTGGGGAGAGAGGGATGTGTGGGGGAGAGAGGGATGTGTGGGGGGGGGGAGAGGGATGTGGGGAAGGGGGTGGGGAGGAGAGGGTGTGTGAGGGTGGGGTGTGGTTGAGGCCTCCCACCAAGCCGGGCTATAAGTGACATATTTATACTTCTGCTCCCTTAATCATTACGTCGTACTAAAGTTATATTACATAACCTTTAAAGAATCACCACCTACGTCATATGCTGAGGTTATGATCAGAGTGGTCGAGGATCTCACACTGGCCAGAGTTACTACTTGGCTGTAAGTTAAAGTCATAGTGACGAGGTGGCGCCTGCAGTGCCAATTGTCGCCACACACAGACACTACTTGAGGACACGGTGTCACGCTACATGCTTCACTGTGTCTGGACTCAAACTTGGACCACCCACAACACAGAATCCTCTTTATGTATTACAGCAACCAGGAAACACAACTCAAACAAACAAACAAAAACAATTATAACTGCCACAAGCGTTAATAATTTACTGTGTGTGTGTGTGTGTGTGTGTGTTACAAGCGCTGGTGTGGGGTCAGAACACGATACAGTAGAGATTATGTAAATATTGGACGCATTATGTGCTGTCTAATGGTAGACCCTGCAGCCATATGGCATCACAAAAATTGTGACCAAGTCTCAGGTTGCTGTTCTGACTTTCTGCGTCATTTACACACAATTGCAGGGTCTCGATTGTTCCACTTACTTTGACAACACAACATATGCTACCGCTGAATTCTCCAGTTGCTTACTGTTAAAGCCTCTTCTAGATGCTTGTTACCTTCGCCGTTTTGGGACGACATGAAAGCAGAGTTTGGCTTTGACGAGCCAATGATCTGTATCACAGTTGTCTGAGCTACGCAGGTGATGAGGGCATCTCGGCGATCTCTTTCGCTGACAAAGATGAAGTCAATGAGATGCTAATGTTTGGATCGTGGATGTTGTTAATAACCCTTGAATTAGTCAGCCTGCCTAAAAAAGGTATTGGAGATAGTGAGGGTGTGTTCAGCACACTTGCTGAGGAGGAGGAGTAGGCCTTTGGGGTTACACTTGCCTACTCCGTTTTTCCCAATGGTTCCTTGTCATATATCAGCATCTCTGCCAACTCTGGCACTGAAGTCACCAATGAGCACAACCTTATCATCTCTGGGGATAGAGGTTAGCACTCCGTCAAGGTCAGCATAAAAGGCCTCCTTGATGTCAACTTCTGCATCCAGTGTTGGGGCGTATGCACTGATGAAGAAGGCATGACGTGAGTGATTCAGTGGGACTCAGAGCGTCATGAGGCGCTCGTTGACCCCAACAGGCATTTCCCTTAGCCGATGTAGGAAGGGGATAGGCGAATGGCAAAGCCAGCTATGTAAATCGGATTTCTCTCAGCAGCAGGCTTACCCGTCCAGAAGAAGGTATAGCCAGACCCCTGTTCTGTGAGTCGACCCTCGTCTGGGAGTCGGGACTCACTAATGGTTGCTATGTCGATGTTATACCTAGACAGCTCTTTTGCCAGGACGCTCATTTGTGCTGGTATCCAGAAGGATCCTCACATTCCATGCAGCGACCATAATAGGTTGTTTAGTTTGTTTATAATTTGATCTGTGATTGCGATTATGCTTTCGACAGCATAAGCATGACCTTACTGGGTGCGGTTGCCCAGTCAGGTTGGTTGTTTAGGCAGGCTATGTTTAGGGCAACTTTTCTAGCCCCCTCCACATGTGGGGTGAGCAGAGTGACTTCTGGTAAGGGCTGCTCATTCGCATAGACAGGACCGGATTGCACTGCTGCCTAGATCCCACTGCATAAACGACAATCTTATCTTTGTCGTCTATGTGCAGAGTTGTGACTAGAGACTCCCGGCAGTCCTCTCTGCCTGTCCCCGTCGCCACTCGTCTATCGCCATAGGACTTTTAGAGGGATAGGGATTTTGATGATGATGAGAAGCATGATGAGCTGGATGGTGGATGCACATGAGTTGATCATGTGGTGAGGCAGGAGCACAGACTGCAACCGTAATTAACCTAACCTCACATCTTGGCTCTCCCTTTCCTGATCCAATGGTGCAGGTAGTTGCAACGACTGGGGAGGGGAGAGTGGCAATGGACTGTTGATAGCCCAGTTTGTTTGGTTTCTCCTTAGTAGCCTGTCCATCTTGCATTGCCTTCATCCGCCGGTGTAGCCATTGAGTTCCCATGTTGGTCAGCTCTTCTGCCTATTCCGCAGCTGGGGTCTTACTGGAGCTCTGTAAGCATGTCTGTCTGATGCGGGGCTCAAC